GGAGTGAATGGATTTCACCTCAAGAATAAAAAAGTATCTGATCTGTCAGCATCCTTCTATCCTGAAGCTTTCTGCAAAAAGGCATCATGGGTTAAAGTTGCAGGATTAAGATGTGCAGATGCAGCCCTGGCGTGCACACATCATTCATGCGATGAGCGCATTCTGTCCCTGACACTACAGGAGCTCCAACAGGCCTGTTTAGGATTTGTTTGTTTGCTTTCTGAAAACATGTTGTGTTTGTGTCAAAAAGAGGCTCAACGTAACCAAACGAGGTGCATAATAGGAACCAAGGAGCAACCCAAGTAAAGATCTACTAAATTATCCAATTAGGATTATGAAATAATCATTGATACAAAATTAAGGCCTACCTCAATGACTCACAGAAGGAAGGCAAAAGGATCTAAATGAAATTGTCTTAAAAGTAAGGTCAACAACTATAGCTTGTATTCAAAACTGATTATAGTGTTTCACAAAAAAATACAGAATAAATTAAAACAACACAGCACAAGTCCCAAAATAATTCTACAGAAAATCGCTGCCTGTAATGTCACGTTTGTCTGAAAACTTCCTCAACGCCATTTTACGTAGTTTACGGTTTTAACGTAGCATCTACTTCATTCATGCCAAGTTGGGTACAGACGCAAGAGAACTCACCTCTGCCCCCTGGTCGCAGCCTTTGGTATAACAACTGTTCCGTCTGAGCAGAATGGATCAGAAATCGATCAGCGGTCCTCTTCTACCAACTAAATAACGCCAACGTGACTCACGTGTCCCAGGCAGGGCACCGTTGTAGAAGAGTAGAAGCAGTAGTAGTGCACGTAGGTGCGTGCGCATGCGTGTCGACGTCCTTTATGACGTCACGCACAGTTGTATGCTTTTATAGATCAAAGCAGCTCATAGATTCACTTCACACTAGACACTCGACGCAGTAACAGGTAAGACTCAGCTCAGAACAACATGTCTACTTTTGACAACATGACAGGAATGAATGTTGAAGCTCTTCTCAGAGTGCCTAAACCAGATCTGATAGATGAACTCTTGAGATTTATGGCAGAAAATAAAACACTGCAAGACAAGCTCTTCACAATGAAGAATAAACATGAAGACAACATTTCTGCAGTCACCTCAGAATTGAAACAATGTCATCACGACCAATTGTTAGAGAGAGATAAACAAATTAATTTACTTAAGGATGACGTTAGAAGGAAACACAAAAAAATATTGAAATTACAAGACGAATATCGAATGTTGGGGATTAACTTGAAAAATTCAGAGGAGGAACTCTTCGAAGTTAAGCAACAGAGAGACGCCGCTGGATTACTGGAGTTTGAAGTTCATGATTTACAAAACAAGATTACTTTTCTGACCAAAGACAACAAGGAAATGTTGGAAAATAAACACGCGTTAGATGTTAGAATGCATCACGTGGACCTATGTCACACTGAGGCCCAAACCAAGATTTTAGAACTAGAAAAACAATTACAAAATGAAACTACCAGCCGCATCCAGGCAGACACATTGATCGAGATGTTGAAGCCTTTCGAACATAAAGCCACCTATTTGGAAATCGAAAATGAGTTACTGAGAGATGAGATACACAACCTAACAAACAAATCTGCTGAACACATCAACCAGATTAATCTTTTGACTGAAAAAACCAACGAGCAGCAACTGAAACTTAACTTTCACCATGAATACTGTGGAAAGAGATTACAAGCCTCCCAGATACATCTAAATGATCAGATGGTAGAACTAAAAACAGAGCTAAACACTTCTCAGATGAACTGTCGGATAGCCCAAAACGAACTTAGCGAATACAAGCATTTTAAGAATGTCCTTTCAGATGAATTGTCAAATGCCAATCAAGAAATACATAAATTAGAAAGTGATATCCATAAATCTGAACATATGAAGTGGCTGGGTTCAAGAACTCAGGATCGGAAGGCTCTTAGAGATAAGTGTGATGCTTTGGAGAAACAACTGCAGCATGCGATGATGGAGCTGGAACAGGCAACGGAGCAAATGAAACGCTCAGCTAATGAAGACAGAATAAGAACTAACGAAATGAAAAAGTTAGAAGAAGATAAAAGAGAATTATCAAAGCAGCTGGAGTTGAGGAGAGCACAGATTCTTGAACTAAATGGTAAATTACAACAGACTAATCATAAGTTAGAAACCAACAAAACGTTTGCAACACGCGAAAAAAGGCTTCTTGAGCGGCGCTTGAGAATAAAGGCGAATATGCTTGTGGCGAATCCGTCTTCTGCTCAGGAAGGCAACCCAGATAACCAGCCTGGATGCTCGACTCGTTTCAGGAATCGCGTTGTCTTGCCCTCTAATGCACCCAAAAGGAAAGGTAATCACCTTCCTCTGATGAATAAGTAAGTCCCTCTAGATTTTACGCAACACATCATGAGAAGACTAACAAAAACACCTTAGAACATCTCTGAATGAGGTCCGACTAATCATTAGATAGTTAGCTGATGTTAGAACATATTAATACTTGGACAAATCATGTGTTGAAAACTTAGTGACATCATAAAGGAAAAGAGGAAGTGCCATGGATAGAAAGTTTACTCTGAAGTCACTCCACCCAGCTGTGGAGACGATAACCAGTAGGGTTATTGAGAATAACACAGATCACCTTACAGGTGGAGATCAGCAGAGCCAGCAATACTGAAGGCTCATTGTTTTTTGAATTAGCTAAAAAAATGAGGCAACACAAGAATTATGTCACAGCTGACACCGTCCAAATCCTGTCTGTGACTCTTTGTGCTGCCTGGGGGTTTTCTCTGGGAGCTCCAGTTCACCCCCGTCTAAATCCCACATCCTAAAGCGGTTATCTTCAGATTTTAGTTAAGGTTCAGGTAAACTATATCCAGAATACATATTACATTAATTTTAGGCAAGGGAAATTATCATTTGTTGCCATTTTTGGGGTGTTTATGAATGTAGAAGAGACCCAGCATCCTGTGATGGGACTAATAACATCAAGAGATAATAATTAAAGTAATATTTAGGTCAATTTAACTCTTTACAGGTGACCAGGACACTGTAATCAATTTTGGCAAGGGAAATGATCATCTGTTGCCATTTTGGGGGTGTTTATGATGATACAGAAGACAGTATGAGTACAATAACATCAACAGATAATACATAAAACCCTTATTTGGTCAGTTTTAGCCTCCATGGAAAACTGAGCGATTCAATCACTTTTTGGCGAGTAAAATGCCAATTTTTGTTGTCTACAATTAAATCATCAATAAAGAATTTAAAGATATTTTGAGGCGTTTCTTATAGGTAAACAGGAGGGTATAGTCACTATTTGGCAAGTGACAATCTTAATTTTATGTGCTGAAGTGCTTTTGTTACTTTTAAATAGAGTAAAGTAATGTATAGATAGTAAACCTACACAGCGTCATTGTAAAGCCAAAGCTTGATCAGTTTAAATACTATTTTTCAAGTAAAAATGTGCCCCAAACTAGTTAACTGTGGCTCCGTGTCAAGTGGACTAAAGAAAGGAAGGAGGAAAAAGTCAAATCGCTGGAGAATTGTTTATTTCCATTCATACAACGTTTGACTTTACATTCAATACAGGGCGCCATTTTACACTGTTCATTTATTTTTTAGTATCAAGGCTGTAACATAAAGAAAGCCAGTTCTTACCACAAACCATCTTTCAATCGCAAATTTTGCAAAAAGGATTAATATGTCCTCATTGTGAACGTTTAAGACAAATAACACTTCAAACAACTTCCGAACTGGAAAAACTAATATCCACGATAAACATCTGTTTAAGTACCGGACGAGGTTATCCCTGCTTTCTCAATGTCCACATTGCTAGATATGCTGAGTTTTAAGGTGAAATCCCAGGGAATTTCGACTAGAAATGCAATTACCCTAACCGTACGCGATCCCGCAGTGGCTTATCTTTTTTTGGCAGCCAGTCGATTTATGGCACAACACTGGCTCCATGTTGGAGTAACCAGAGTGAGTGACACACACACCGCACCTGCGTACTCCTGAGCCGATAAAAACGGCTAAATGTGCGCGTGCGGCGTGCTAAACACACGTGCAGCTTGCCCCTGATTGCTGTGAGACCGGGTTGGGGGGGGGGGGGGGGGTGCAGCTGTGGTTGGGACAATTATTACATTAACTGATGGACTTGTAAATAAATAGTTCATAAATAAGGTAGGAATAAGGTCCTCACGCTGATAAATAATAACTAATCTCTGAGGACACGGTGCTAGTGCACTCTCCTACATGACTAAATAAATGTTATGCAAAATTTAGTGAACATCAATTTGCATGTATTTGTTATAAATGCCACTGTATAATTCTTGCTGTCAGTATTTGCAAGATATTGGTATTTGGGTCTGTACTGGTTAGACTTAAATGAGTTAAACCAAGGTTTATAGCCCTACGAGCTATAAGTATATTGGTCTTTTTATACTGGGAATCAGGAGTTATTTTAGTGATCATCTTGTTTCTTGTTTATTTTTGCCCTGAGCAGTTTTACGACTGAATAAAAAAATAAAAATAAAAATCTACATAAATTGAAAAATCGTCTTAAATAATCGAGATCTCAATTTCAGTCACAATAATCGTGATTATTGTTTTTGCCATAATCGAGCAGCCCTACTTTAGCATATCCGGTCACATAATGATGACGTCATATTCAGTGGTCGTTCTGCATCATTTCAGGCCTCGTGGTCAACTGTCTGAACCGCTGAACAGAAGTGCCTGGCTTATTTTCTATGTAAAATAAATATGTGCAATACGTTGTCAACATCAGTGAGTCTCTAAGTCTATTCTTTTTGTATGTTATATATGTTAAAATGTTGCGAGTCCCTACATGCCAAAGCCAGTGGCAAGTACGGGGTCAAAAGGTGAGCCACACTGGACTGGCTTGTGCGAGCAAAATCAGCCAGCCGACAGGAGCTGGGCTGCAGGTCAAAGGACTGTGGTCAGAAACAAGGGTCAAAGGGACAAGAGGACAGAACTGGGCAAAAGGTCAGGTGGCTGGCCCCACCCCTGGATCCACCCCTGGCTTGGAAAGATGGGATTGGAGGAGAACAGAGTGAAGACAAGCCCATCAGATCCAGAAGCCCTCTCAGGAACATTGGAGAGAAACTGAAGAATACTGCAAAAGATGATGTAAGGACCTGTGTTAAGAAGAATGCTGCATGTAGTGAAAATGACACCAAATGTTTTGTGTTGAGCTACAAAGTGTGTATCTGGTAAATGACCCCATGACCTTAAGCTGGTCCAGGAAGGGTATATAAGAACAGCTCTGAACAGCAGAGGGGGATTGAGAGAGAGAGCTGGGGCAGACAACAAGAAGAGACAGAGCAGATTTGGAGGGGTCATCCCCCGTCCTACTGGATGGGGGATGACAGGTCAGTTTTTTGGAGAGAAGCAGAGCTAGATAAGAGTTTTAGAAGAGTTTGGGAAGATTCTCAGAAGACAGGAGTTGGTGTAAACTGACTCTTTTATTTAATCATTTTGAACTAATCCCTCCTTGGGGGATAGCAGTTGTTTTTATATATTTACTCATTTTTGTATTTTTCTATTTTGTAATAAACTTTTTTGGAAAAGAAACATAATCCTGATTATTTCAGGTTTTCTCTAAAGCTTCACGAGTGGGGGCCCTGGCCATAATTGCACAGAGGTAAGCACATTAATTATGGGTTCTTGAATTATCAGGACTTACTTTACGGTTTGTGACAGATTAATATAAAGAAACCTTAAGATAACGGGATTGCTTAAAAAGAAGTGAGCTACTACAGAATGAAAAGTCTTACATATTATTTCACCTTTAAAATAAAAGATATGATTCTAACTTAGGACGCCCAACCCAGGGTCTAATACTATAATACTCACCGACATCCCCATCGAACCCTGATGGATGCACAGTCTCATAAGTTCTAACGGAACTGGGTTTTAACGGAACCAACAAATGGGACGTGCACGCGACAAAAATATGTGTAAATAGGTCGCTGATTAACACTTGCAATTTAGTGTTGTGATGGTTTTAAAAAAATTCTGAAGGTAGTAAAAAAAGTATTAAAAAGTAGTACATTTTACTTAAGGATTGCTGTATATACCCTGAGTATGTATTTATTTATTTATATTTTTAATAAAACATACACTCATGAATTCATAATTCACTGGTCCAGTTTTAGTCTTTTTTTATTAACTTCCTCAGATGAACAACCACAACGCTCCTAACTGCTACATATTGGTTTAACAACATGCTGTCAAGTGGCCAACTGTAGTATAACAGAAACACCACATTTTCAATAATAGTGCCTCCAGGTGGGGCTTATCTAAATTACTTTTAATTTAAAACACTTTTTCAGCTAATTTGTTGTATACTACAAGTTAGAGCCCTGCACGGGCCTAAAATCTGAGCCCGTGTCCGGCCCGGCCCGAGGGGGTGGAGCCTCAGCCCGACCCGGTCCGAAAAGGTTTTCAGGATTCTCTGGCCTGACCCGAGCCCGACTTTTTTTTAACCAACTAAATGAAAACGAAGTGCGTCAATCCTGACCAATGTGTTAAAAGACGTGCAGGATCCGATCAATTTGTTTTTCCCTCATTTATCGTCATGGAGATAATGGCGCACTGGCTCTGGTGGCAGTCAAGTTAAATTTTATCTCTTTCCAACAATTTTCACAAGAAAACAGAACAGTCAAAAGCAGGGCTTGTGTTGACCGGATAGTTCCCGTGTTTGACCGTTTATTTTGACGGAGAAAGAATAGAAAGAATTACCTCGACGCATGCAGACGAACTGACATTTTATTCTACGCACATCGCAGATGTAGCTAAATCACACAAGAAAAGATTCCCATCTGAACATCTGAGCTGGACACTGCTCAGCGCAGCCCTGCACCATCAACAGAGGAACTTCTACAACACCTACGGACTCGCGGTGATGGTAAAATAAAACATTATCTGCCTTACATCTTCCACACAATAGTCCACTGCTGATTGAGTTTATTTTTTATTTACAGGTAAAACTTTGCCAAAGACATAGGTGTTGGGGGAGGCAAGAGAAAACTCAAAACCTTCTTTATTTTTGTTTCCTTTGTTTGTTTGTTTTGAAAATAAAGATATATTTTGGGGAAATAAGGACTAATAATTTAAAAATGTATGTAAAATGCTGGAGGTAGACATAAGTTTTTGTTGTTGTGCAGGAGTTTTAAAATTTATGGTATTTTTACAAATGCAACACAGAGTTATGCTTTAGAACACTTTATTAGAGCATCAAACAAAAATATATAAAAAAAACTAACTGATGTAAAATATTAAATATATACATTTATTTACAATCGTCTTGGAATAAAACCAGTGTAGTTACCATTGGGGTCAGGGAATTTTTCCCTTATCCTCCAGACAACACAGCTTGGGATTACTACTCTGCGCCCTCCAGCAAGTTTTCCATGCTACCATGCTACAAATTGTAAGCTGCATGGCGGAACTGTCTGTTGTCCTCACCAGGGTCCAGGTCATCATAAACTGCTCGAAACTCATTCCACAATGTTCTGGCCAGGCGAAGAACACCATTTTGCAGAATAAACTCCTCCATGTGTGGTACAGTTGAAATACATGTCTGGGGAGGCTGTTGGCAGCTTTTCTTTTCCAAATCAGTTGGCATATCTCTGCAGTGGGAGCATACACACCATGAAGGTTGATTGGATGTTGGAGGTGTTGTGGCAGGTGGACCAGAGAGGGCAAGTACATCAAAGAGAACACCAGGGTCTCTGTCCAGCACCATGGTAAGGATGTCAATAGCCTGCTGAGGGTGCAGGTTCTGTATGTGTTACTTCAAAAGTGGAAAGAGATGCTACAGCAACAGATTTTAGGATCATTTAGTATAATTCTATTATGCTTACACGTTCAAAGTCTATTCGCTCTCGAGAGAGAGATCTTCATCTCCAAGGTCCACAGCTGAGTGTCTCGCACTTCTTCGGCCTTTGGATGCACCGCGGCCTCTAGACGCACCACGGCCTCTGGATGCACCACGGCTTTGAGATGATGGTGGGCATCTCCTTTTTGCACCACGTCTTGAGGATGCAATGGGAGGTTCAAACTCTTCCTCAGAGGATTCCTCAATCACTGAACTCTAATTTGTATTAGAATAAAAAAAAATTATACTAATATAAAAAGTACTCTTGCATATTAATCAATTTTGACACAGATCAGGTTTACATCTAGTCAAAATTTGGGCTAAACCAACAATAAACAGAAACCCTATGAAAACAACCATGATTATAGGAGGACTACACAGAATGCAGTGTTTATTCATGATTTCCACATAAATTATTTACATGCTTTGATATATTCGTCCCATCTTGAATGGCAAAGCAATTAAAAATAAGCAAATTACTCGTAATAAAATGCTAACAATTTGATAGGATTCATTTTATTTACAATATAGATTGTCAACTGTTACTGGTATTTTAAAATATAAATATATTTATAGATATTCTTTATAAAATGCCTTTTGTAAACAGTAAGTGTTTAATGTGCTGGTTAAAAACAACTTTCTTACCTTAGATAACTCCATTGCTAACACTAGCTCAGCTCTATTATGAAGAAGCAATGCTGCTCTGGTGTTGACTCTGCTTTTCCTGCGCGTGCACATTGGGAGGTGTGGCTTTCGGCTCTTTCAGGAAGGGCGGGGGAGTGAGCAACAGCCGTTCGAATTTAAAAATCTCCTCCTCCTCACCCTGACGGTGTCATCTTACGGACCATGCCTTTAAATGTATGAAACAATTTGGTTCCAGAGCAGTTCTACCATGCCAAGAAAACAGTACTTTTAAGTAGTTTTCTAAAATGCCCAACCACTACCTGACAAACATTTGTTATTTGAAGAGAAATAACAGTCTTCTGATTTATTTATTTGTTTTTTATAAAATAAGACTTTATTATTTGTGCAAGCAATTCTTTAAAGGGGCATTATGGAAGTTTGACAGCCAAATAATGTATAGAAATAATAAATTTCTTCTTCATACATTCTCCTGCAATGCCCTGGTCCTGTAGAATGAGCCCTGGCATTTTTACTGTGATTGCCTGTTTTTCTGTAAAATCACAGAAAAAGAGAGATGCTCGGGTCGAGCAGGCTGCTTCATGCGCGTTCACGCTCAGGCATCGCCCGTAGCATTTGCTATCCGTAGCTTTAGCAGCAGAGAGAGAGGCAGTGCCAACTCAGCGACTTTGTCGCTGTTCCTCACGCCTAGTGATGAACCTAGCTACATTTCTGAGGACCCTTAGCTACTTTCTTCTAGATATTTCCTGCAAATTAGCAACAAAATAGCCATTTTCGCTCTGAACCATTCTTTGAACGTTGTTTCAGCTGTCAGCAAGGATATAAATATTACAGATACAAAAGATGTCATTGGTGCTATAGCGCACCTAGTAAGACAGCAGACTCTCGTGCGGAAGACCCGGGTTTGATTCTGGATGTGAACATAGATTATTTAGAGTTTATTTTTTACATTAATGGTATATTTTTTACAGTAAGATGCCCAAATTTTTATTTGAGACTCGCCGAACGGCATTGAATTCACAGATAAAACAGATGTGGGTTCAACTTTCATTTTGGAACAATTTTTCAAGGGAAGGGCATGATCTGAGCATGCAGGAGGACTGACCCATCTTAAACCTTTGTCGGCTGTGCTGAAGAGAAAGGTACAGAACCAAATTATTTAATTAATTGGCTACGCGTTCTCCTGTCCTCTGTCATCCGGGCCACACACACACACACACAGGACTGTCTCAGCTGTTATTTTCGTTAAGGAGTGTGCACGTACAGCATGCGCACCTCGTGCATGAGCCTACTATTGAAGCTGCCGTCACGCTTTTGGCCTGAGGGGGCAATCGCGAGCATAAACATTCAAAACTCCGTAAAGTCCCTTTTAAAGGTCCTATATCATGCAAAATCCATTGTTGAATGTTTGAAAGAGTGGGTTGTGAAAATAACTTCCATTTCACAAAAATGACATCTCAATAATGCCAATGGTAATATTTATCATATAGTGTGCCTACTATTGCTCTGTAAGGTGTGAAATAGCTGCATGCAGGTCCTTTAAATATGATAAAGTTTCTGAATAGGAGGGCTTACTGACCCAAACAGAAGATATTCATTAATTGTTTCACGTGATTTTCTTTATTCGTTTAATTGCAAAAGGGTCAGTACATAGCAAGGGGGTCCAATCAAGTGCATTTAAGGTACCCCTACAGTATTACCTGGATAACAAAGTGTCTCAGCTCTTTGCTTTATTTACCCTAATACAAGTAGGAAAACACTGGAATGATCTTTTATTTCAGTCTTGACCTCCATCCTAGCCAAAAGTAGTGTTGTTCCAGGCCACATTGGCTGCATCCATGTCCACAAAATTGATATAAATTCTAAAACAGACACCAGAAGAAAGAGGTTAATGAGCAATGAATAGAGGTTGTGTGTTTGATCAAGTCCTACAAAGAGGATCAGCATGCTGATGGGCTACTGTTACCTGTCAGCGGAGACTCCCAGGTGTTTGTTGAGCAACCCACACAGAAGTTTTGAGTACTGCTTGTTCTGGGCGCCACTGATCTTGCCGATGCTGTGGAGGGAGCACAGAGCGCAGGGGTCTCCCTTTCCACCAAACATCATCATTTGGTCAGGGTTAATATTCACAGCAATGTACTGAAGAAAGATGAAGGGAAAAAAGCAATATTAAGTGTCAAACCTAAGTGAGTGAACAAGTCAACAGTTCTTGAAGCAAAGACAAATATTTTTCCATTGTACCTTTACTAATAAGTCTCCAAAAATATTTGTCTGTACAATTTTTTTCCATATTGATGGAATTTAGTCTTTTATATTGAAAGATTTACAACAGCGCTATTTGTAACATTCACTTTTCTGTAGATTTAGCTTTGTTGAAGTCTGTCATTCAAAATCTTGCTTTAAAAATGTTATACTGTACTTTGCTATCGTTTCCCTCAGAATTTTATTTTTGTTCTTAAGATTTCTTTATAATTAATATTTAGATTTTTGAACCTTTAAGTATTTCTGTGTTGAGTTGTTTTGGTGTTTATTTTAATCTTAGTCTTTATTTTTCTCCTGTTGTGGATGTGGCAAAAACATTGCCTCAAGAAAAGGAGGGATTTTCTTTTCTATTAGTGTTTATTTTCGTTTACTTTAAAACTATTTTATGTTATTATGTTCTTTATCCTTTTGAGTTTAGGTGTTTTTTTAATGCTCATCCCACTCTGAAGTAATTTTATTTATTCTTTGTAATTCACTTTATCCATCTTGCATCTGGGAAATTTGGACCAGTGATATATAATCCAGATTAATTCATGTAATTATTTTCAACTATGCAAAATGATCCAAACTGATGAGCCGCTTCCGTCCCTGCAGGTAATCTCTAATGTTATATTAGCAGTTTGACAAACATTCTTTCATAATGGATATTATTTAGTATGGTACTGATGTGATTTAGTAGATATATCGTTCCATATATAATCAAAACCAGCATGGTAAATGATCTGCAGGGTTATAATGGTCTGAAGGAACATCTTCCTGACCTACCTGAGCAGGTTTACCCATCGCTTTAGCTAACTCCTCCGTAGCCTCGGACAGCAGAGCCGCAGGCACGTTGCTTTTAGCCACGTTGGTGTTCACCACAAACATCGGCATGATTGCTTTTTATTTCTTCTCTCCAGCTCAAGCTGCAGACGTTCTTCGTCTCTTTCCAGATCGTAAAGAAGCCACGAGAATGACCTCTTCCTCCTCCTTAAAAATGAAAAACTAATTGACCACAGCGCCACCTCTCATCCTGGAGGACACATGGCAACAAATTTTTAGGCCACATTAGGTCACCAACCTGAAGCTGAGAGCTACTTTCAGGGTTGTGACTGAGCGTTAACCAAGTTTGATACAATAGTGAAAATTTGTGAATTTTGGATTAAAAAGAAATCCTAAGCCTAACCCTAACCCAAATCCAAATCTAAATCATTGATTGGATCAGAAAGCTGGTCTTTAATAGAAACATAAACATTTTAAGGGAAGTTTGCACTTTTGTTGTTAAGAACTTTTTTAATTGCAATTTATCAAAGTTTGTTTTTAACTTTTTTGTCGGTTTTTTTGTTTTTGAAGTACCTTTTTCTTTGTATTGATTAAAAAAGTACATAATAATATACAAATATATAACCTTTGAACTAGAATAGATCAGAGTTAAACTAAAATGTATTTACTATAAACATATTTAAATATTTGTAAAGAAACATGTAGGTTTTAAATCTATAATAATGCATTTGCGATTTTAAAAGATGGCAGCAGGTTTGGAGAAAAGGCCTGTGGGCACCAGATTGGTAAATCCCTTCTTTACACATTTACAAAAGCAAATATGTTCTGACCATCTACATACTGGACAATTCATTTCCATAGGCTCCAATAACACGTTTTTGTGCAAAAATGGGAGGTGGCCACCACCGCCATTTTGACCGTGTCACAGGTTCCTTCAAGCCCAGACAATTCTACAAAAGGGAAGAGAGGTGGAGCTGAGGGTGTGGCTGTAAGGCTGGGATCAACTGACGACACCCGGTCGAACTAGCTACAAGCTAACCCAAAGCTAACGCAGAGGTGGGAGCTAAGCTAACGGAGGTAGCAACCTAGCTACAACCGGAGTTAATTGTGCACAACACCAGAGCTTCTGAGTCAGAGATACGCCGGGCTGACCACTGGGTAAAACCGGGTGGAACACAGAGGTCTCCCGAAAGCTGCTGGAAGCCAGCAGCCCACGCAGCAGACAGAAGCCGCGATTAGACAGAGATGCGCAGAGCTGCGGGGAGGGGAAAAACGGGTGGAAAACATCGGTCTCCCTAGAGCTCCACAAGCCGATTATCGGAACCCAGCTCCACCAACATGTTATATTTCAACCCATTTTCTAAAGTGCAGCATTATCACAATGTCGTTGTGAGCCTGTGTGTGTATTTGTTAGCGGCTCCGCCCTCTCGGTCTGCTAGGCTACAGCATTTGTTGCATTTTTCAAACAGGAAGTGGGAGTGGAGTAAGAATCTGGTAGGGGATGACTCATTCTGAGTTATTTAATAAAAACAGTACAAGTGAAAGATGGAGAATGTCACTAAAAATTATTAAATACTTTGGCTGCAGATCAAACTACGACTCAAAATTCCAGTTTTTCATATTGACCACATCCAGAAACTCATATTTTAGTTATTTGTTTTTTATGAATTTTCCTTCTGTTCTCATTTTCCTCATATCCTCCTCCATCCCAGCTGGCATCTGAGTTTTAACTGTTGGTTTTGCAGGCAGGGGGTGAGTCACACAGCTGGTGACTTTGAGTTAGGAGTGATTTTAATAACTAAATTCACTTGAAATGATTTTCTTCATTGTCTCTGCAACACAATCTTTCAGACTGAGGTGATGACTTTTTTTAGTGAAGCCTGGAACAAAGATCTATGAGTTTTAATTCCCTCATTTACAAAGTGTGGAACTCTGTCAAACAACTTTTATCTCAGACCTTTAAATCTGACAAACTTTTTCCTGATATTTATTCAGACGTCTGCAAGTGGGCCAGTACGCAACAACAGGCATCACCGTATGGGATGTCAATAAATTGCAGGTGCAAATTGTTTAGCAGACTTTTTTTTATGTTTAGAAATTTTTGCGCATATTTTCCTGTATTTAGCAACTTTCATCACATTTAAAATAATGCTCAAATGTCACATCATTTCAGCTAAATGTTAAATCTAAACTTACATTTTAAATGTAAATCAGAATGTAAAATCTAAACCTAAATCTAAATGCCAAGCGTAAATGTTAAATCTAAACATAAATCCAAATTTTTAATCTAAATGTAAATGTTAAATTTAATCCAATTTAACCCATCCTTTCCACGGAGCTAGCTCTGTGGTCACGTGGGTCTGATGCTAATTAATTATACAGGATTTTAGGCTTTTAATACACTTAAACAGAAGAGAGAGAAAAAAAATCACCCCCCTCAGAGTTGTCATGAGTGTAAACTAGATCATTTAAACCAAAAACATGTTTTGGTACCAGGCTGTAAACATGTTTATTTCTGCTGTGAAATTGGTATTTTTAACATGGGAGTCAATGAGGATTTGCTCGCTTCTGACACCAGCCCCCAGCGGATGAGGGTGGAACTGCAATTTTTGGTACTTCCGGGTTGGGCTCAATTTTTGAGCAGCATTGTGGGGGCTTGGTTCTGACTTTGACTTTGGACTTTGGGTGGCAAGGGAGAGTAGCGCCCCTGGTGGGGGACGGGAGTCTCCCCATTTGTGAAATAGGTACGGACAGCGTCCCTAGGTGGCGAATAAAGAGATCGCCCTCGTTTTCCACCCAGACACAGAAAACAATAGTTTTTTGAAGAATTAATTAATGACTCAGAACCAACACGAAGTGGACAATTTTCATAAAGTCTGGCTGGCACGCCAATATGTAGGGTTTAGGAAATTGAGTGCTTTAAGAGCTCAATATATATTACCTCTACTTACGACCAATAAGGTGTGATACTCTATCTAAATATAGAATATCAACCCTGCTTGGTCTGTGTGTGTTTATCAGAAGATTCTAGGATTCTTTGTTTATTAAGAAATTGTATACACTTCGTTTTGATTCAGAAAAGAGTCACGCTTATAAAAGTAAGAATTTATTTAACCAACAATTAAAACATGACAAGTTAACTATCATGTAATGTGATACTGTGAACTAGATGTGATGTATGAAACCTATGTGTGAATGCGATGTTATCAGAACTTCGGTATCTAGGAGAGCTGAGTTCTGGATGTAAAAGTATTTGGTTTGCGTTAAGCCATGAAGTTGATTATTATCAAAAGCACATCAGACTCTGTCTGTGTGTCTACTTCACCCGTTCTGAGACCCCCTTGGCGGATCCGAAGGTCAGAGAGGTCGGATGACCTCGGGCGACGAAGGGCTGTAGAATACCGTGGCACAGACTCTTCAGTCCAGAGATGTGTCGGGTCACGACAGATGGATGGAACCGCGTATCTGGGACTCTTTAAGGAGTCGGAACGATATCAGCTTGTTCTGCAGAAACTGTTGCTGTATCAGCTCTGTAGGTGCAAAAAAGGTTTTGACGACGTGTCAAAAGCTTTGATGGGTTAAAGAGGGTTTTGCTTCAGATGGCCGGTCTGAAGCTTTCTCCAGAACTATTGAACCGCTGAGCTGAACTGAAATGATGAATCACCCGAGTGATCCAGTTTTAATGTTCTCGTGTTATGATTTGTGTAGCCAACCAGAGGTTGACAAGTGTAGGAATATATTACCAAGAGTCTCAGAAACACACGCCTTCTTTGATATCTTCTTCTTCCAGCTCTTGGAGAGTACAGACGCTTTTTTCCTCCTCTCCTCCCTATCTTATCCCCAAGGCTCTTTGTCTGTCTTTGGGTGTATGGCGCTTCTGCATTTTTTCTGGAAACGGGAAATTATTAAACATGGACCTGGTCAGTTGGTCTCTCAACGCGATTGACAAAAAACGTTCAACGATGAGAATGGGAGAAGGAGCTCCCGGCTGCCCCTCTGGGACAGAGCCAGCTGGGCATATCATGGACTCCTGGAAACAGTGGAACCTGATCTTCCTCTCTCAGCTGTCTGTAGAGGATTCTGAAGACGTCTGGATATTCATGGTGTTGGTGTCAGGTTTCTTGCTTTTTGGCCTGAGCGGTTACCTGGCTTACCGGAAAATTAATGAGCTGTCAAGGAATATTGGCTCAATCCCGGAGCTCAGGGATGGATTACACCGCACAGTGAATGCACAAACTCACATAATTGTCGAGATGAGACCCTACCTCCCCACCTAGTGAACACTTATGTTGTGTAATGTCTGAAGTCTGTTACATTTCTGTCTGAGGTATCTTTTGCATAGCAAAGCTGCCCTTCCTGTGGAGGGTAACTCTGAAGAGCCTTTTTTTCCTCCACCTGACTCAATCTTCATGTAAACCCTCTGATCGCTATTAAGGTAGCGCGACTCGGGTTGCAAATGACCTCGGTCACCAATTCTTGTCATGTGTCTATGCATGTATGTCTGATCTCAGAATTGTGTACTGAAACTCTAATTTCCCTCTGGGATTAATAAAGTATCTTTGAATTTGGATGCTCTGATCTGGGGTAAAGCCTATTTATGTGTCATGAGTTTAACTTAACCTTACTTTGTTCTTGTGTGAGTGCAAATGGTGATGACCTTGTCATATACAGGTGCTGGCCAGTAAATTAGAATATCATCAAAAGGTTGAAAATATTTCAGTAATTCCATTCAAAACGTGAAACTTGTACATTATATTCATGCAATGCACACAGACCAATGTATTTCCGATGTTTATTACGTTTAATTTTGATATTTATAGGTGACAACCAATGAAAACATCAAATCTGGTATCTCAGACAATTAGAATATTCTAAAGGCCAATGAAAAAATGTTTGTTTCTCTAATGTTGGCCAACTGAAAAGAATGAACATGAAAAGAATGTGCATGTATAGCACTCAATACTTAGTCGGGGCTCCTTTTGCCTCAATAACTGCAGTAATGCGGCGTGGCATGGACTCGATCAGTCTGTGGCACTGCTCAGGTGTTATGAGAGCCCAGGTTGCTCTGATAGTCGTCTTCAGCTCCTCTGCATTGTTGGGTCTAGCGTATTGCATCCTCCGCTTCACAATACCCCATAGATTTTCTATGGGGTTAAGGTCAGGCGAGTTTGCTGGCCAATCAAGGACAGGGATACCATGGTCCTTGAACCAGGTGCTGGTGGTTTTGGCACTGTGTGCAGGTGC